TTCTAGAAAAGTTGATTAAAATGTTGAAAAATTTGATCAACATTTGTTAAAATTCGTCGAATTTTTATAAATGTTCTACAAAGTTTGAAATTATGTCCATGTTTTTTTAGATAGTAAGTTATATTTTCATAAAAAAATAATAAAACAATTTTTATAGTAATTATGTATGTATTTTTCTGAAATTTTTTTATAAAAAGATGATTCATTCCACAACAGAAAAAAAATAAAAATAAAATTTGTAAACTTTGTACAAAATTTCAGCAAATTTTCAACTTTTTAATCAGATTTTTAGAATTTTTTTGAGTATGCAGATTTGTGGCCCAATCAATTTTATTTTAATAAAGTAGAAGTTCTAAGCAGCTATGAATTACTGTTGATTTGTGGATTTTTTTTCCCGCAGTCTCTTCTATACAAAAAATTTTTTCGAAAATAATTGACATGGAAAAAATGCAAAACACCTTCAACAAAACAGATTTTCAAAAATCAATGAGATTTTTGACTAACCGCTCACATGCAGTTTTTATACTAGAATTTAAAGGGCTAAAAATCTGTGTACTCAAAAAAATTTATGAAAATCTGGCTAAAAAGTTGAAAATTTGCATTAAAATTTGCTGAATTTTCGCGAGTTTTGCACAAAGTTTAGAAATTATATTTTTCTGTTGTTTATTGTAGAATGAACCATATTTTTATAAAAAATTGTCGGAAAAATATAACAATAAAAATTTTTGCATATATTGTAAAAAAGCAGCTGTACCAATACTTTTTGCCGGCAGTGTAATTGCTGGGCGTCGAGCTTGTTAAAAGTTTTCATAATTTTTAGAGAAACTTTTAGCAATTAAATTGTAATGTATGAAAAAAACATATAAAATTAAAAGAAGACTGAGATATCCTAGTTATTTTGCAGTTCTAAAACAGGGTTTTTTTCTGGCTACCAGCTGTGCACAATGTGAGTTGTTCTTTTGTGCTAAGTTTGCAAAAAAAACTAGAAAATGTATCGACTTTCGACAGTAACTGGGGATCTTTGTTTTTTTTTAATAAAAAAAAAAAAAAACAAACTGGAACGAAAAAATTCCTACATTTTATTATTTTTTCGTATTTATTTAAAGCAGGAATCACACGATTTGTACATTCGAGTTCAATTTTCTGAACAGCAGCACTCTCACCGTCATCACATCTCTGCTTAACGGTATGTCTCATATACTGAGTATTTAAAGCAAGCGCAAGAAAAGAGTATTTTTTTATCATTGACGAAAAAAGCCTTTATATCCCTTTCTAAATGCGTTCACCAAAGCAAGATGTACAAATTGACAAGCGTAGGCAATGCAAAAAGGCACTTACTTAATACCGGGCTAAATTTTAAAAGCACGCTATCGGTTCACAAAAAGAAAAAAGAAATTGTTGGAGATAGTGAAAAAATTGCGTATACTAATACATACGAGTATGTAAGCTTTGTGCAGGAATATTTACACATACATTTACTTACGTTTAACATAAATATGCGAGGAGTCGCAATCAAAGAAGGTATGGAATTCTACGAAATAACTACGAAATCAGGAAAGCGAATTTTATTTGCGGAGCGTATTTATGCAAGCATAAGGGTGCAAATGCTGTATATTGAGTACCAATGCTACAGTGCATGGGCATCTATACAAAGGCATCTAAAAGCGCGCTACCAACGTCAAGAGTTAAGTGCATAAAAATATGAGTGGTGGAAAAAATCATCACAACAAAAACAAAAATAAAGTTGAAAAACGAAAGCGAAAATGGTTAAAAGATTTGCAGCGTTGAAATTAAAACGTGCCTGCTCTGGCTGTACGTGTTGGTTGACATCGCTGCCAACGCAACTAAGCAGTAGGGTTTAAGCATTTGTATCTCTGGGGAAAATTAAAAGTATTTATATCTGACGTGACATTTTAAGGATGCACACAAGTCTGTAAATACATACATATGTACACATCTTTTCATGTATGCGTTGCGTACGATAAAATGGTCGGTGTGATAATTTAATGCTTCCAATTTATACTGCAATAAATCTTTGGGTCTGCAAGAAATTGAAAGTCGACGTAGCACTACATATTATTTAATTGATTTTTTTTTTTTGTAGAAATCCAATTATGTTGTAAGCACCAAAAGGCACGAGACCGAAGGTTTGTGAGACCACTTGCCCACACCTAAAGGTTTAAAATATGGTATTGATTCTTTTCAAATTGTTTATAAGTTTGTGTAAAATCTCTTAGAAATAAAATTATTCGATGAAGTAGCCAAAAATACCAAATACCAATAATCTAAAAAATGATCATCAACTCATCGTCATACATATAAAAAAATAATTGTTCAGTTACTTTCATGTAAAAGTTAATTTTTTTTTGTATTTGTATTTGGAAGACGACCGAGCATTGTTGTGAAGACGAAGCTCATCCGAATCGAAGTTCTGCCTATTTGTTCTGACTAGCCTAGTCAAATCTTAAAATGTATTAGGCTTGGGTAGTTCTAGAACTAAATGAACTAAAGAACTTCTTCATATCAATGAACTGTTCACTGGTTCGATCTCTACATTGAACAAAATTTGTCAGTGCTACTACTTTTCATTTTGGATGGCGATATAAATATTCTTGGCATATTTACAGATACGTTTTAAAACGCAATTTGCACTGTTGCTAACAAGGTTTTTCGCAAATATTAAACTAGCGTAGAGCGCTTTTAAAATCAAACAACAAATCAGAAATGATTTAATGTTATTGCACAGCAATATGTAAGTTTTTGTTTTGTTTGTAGAATGTACGATAATAAAGATAATTGAACTTTGTTTAAAACAAAATTCTTCAATTGAACTAAATGAACTATAAGAACCAAGGAACTAGTTCACTAAGGGGAACGAACTACAAATGAGCGGTTCACTTAAAAGAACTAAAGTCCTCAACTTTAATACACATACATATCTAGGTGATGGGATCAATCAATACAAATAAAAATGTTGCTTACAATGTTTAGAATGGTTAACAAAATAAGCAGCTATAACTGCCGTTTTCAGCCCCCACTCATTATGCGGATGTCCTACCTGAGCATGTTCTAAATTGATATGATTTTGCTTACAATGGCTGAGTGTCGGCAGCGTAATTTTTTTTTATTCTTTAGTTAAAATTTCTCTTAGCTTAAAAAATATTTATTTTTTAATTTTTAGGGTTTTTTCCCTTTTTAAATTTTATAATTTTTCTTTTTTTATTAAGTTTTTAGATTTTATTTTTAAATTTTAGAAAAATATTTTTTTTAGTTTCATTTAATTTTTACGAACTTATTTTTTTAAGTAGGTAGTTTTCTTTTTAAATTTAATTTTATTTTAATTTTTAGATTTTGTTGCTTAACATTTTTATTTTATTTCATTTAATTCTCAGGAACCTATTTATCTCATTCTTTTTTTAATTAAATTTTTTATTTTTTAACTAAGCTTTCATTTAGCTTTTAGATTTTATTGTTTTGAAATATAAAATATTTTTTTTTTGTTTTTTAGTTGCATTTAATATTAACAAAAATATTTAATTTGTTTATCTAAATTTTTAGTTTTAAAATTCAATTTTTTTGAAATTTTGAGTTTTTATTGTTTTAAAAAGAAACAAATATATTTTTTTGTAGTTTTATTTAATTTGTAGAAAATTATCTTATATCTTTTTATCCAATTGTTTTATTTAATTTTGTTAAATTTTTTAGTTTTTATTGTTTTAAATTTTGTAAAGTAGACTTGGAAACTTTTCGCTCAATGTTCGCGATACATGTATGTTTTCTATTAACAATGACGAAGCTACAATGCTCAACCAACTTATAAGGATCATCCTATCCTAGATTTTGTTTTGAATCCTACGAGTATTGGGTTATTCCTGCGTAAAAAATCGTAGGTGGCTAAAATACCAACACTTCTGTTAATACTTACCCACTTGCAGTTGTTAATTTTTTTTATTCCAACAGCTAAGATATTGAGGATACTGTGATGTCAGGGACCGTAACAGTTACGAATTGTATTAAAAAAATCGCTCTTTAACAATTATTATTTTTTACTTTTATTTAAATACTCCTTAAATAGCCGTTATTTCTAAATTTTACCTTATAAATAAAAAATACAAATTATTTTTAAGTTTTATATAAATAATCTACAAATAACAGTTATTCTTAATTTTTAAATAATATGTCTTAGATAACGTTTATCGAAGACTTTTATTTATAAAAGTCATAAATAAAAATCAGTCACAGACCTTTATTTTTTAAACCATACTTATAGAAGTCATTTGTATAAGTCGTAGTAAATTTTTGTTTCTCAAAACCTTTTTAACTGCCAAAAATGTTAATGACTTTTATACGAATGATTTTAAAAGTTAAAGTCGGTGACTAATTTATATTGACGACTTTTAAAAGTAAAAGTCACTGACTGATTTTTATTGATGCCTTTTATAAATAAATGTCTTCAATAACTGATATCTGAGGCATATAATATAAAAATCAAAAATAATTGTTATATTTTTTAATTTTGCATAAAAATTGCTGTTTTCTGTTTTCTGAGATATATAATATAAAAATCAAACATTATTTTTATTTTGGATTTATAATATAAAAATCAAAAATAATTGTTATTTTTTTTTTAATTTTGCATAAAAATTGCAAATAAAAATTTATTTTCAAATTTGAGTCTCGGTGAAAAAAGAAATGGACGGGTAGGTATTATTAAGTTGTAGAACATTTCCTTCATAGTGAAATTTTCCATGACAGTTTTCATCAATAACTGTTATCTTTGGACTAGAGATTTTGTACTTATTACAAAGACATTTTGTATGCATATATAAAGAAAATGATTAGAATTTCTTAATTTTTGAGTTCCTGCTAAAATAATATTAATAATATCGCAAGCTTTATTAACATATGCGACTTCAGGCAAACCAAATATATATAAAGCAACACAAACTCCGAGTACTTGAATACTTAGTCAATAATCCTATACTTTTCTCTTCTTCCAGGTTCTCACTGATGACTTAGGGAAGCACATACATTTTCGGAAGCGGATCTATGAAAAATTCAATACAAAACTTTCAGCAAAAAGCAGCGGATCAAACAAATAAAGCACACTTTAATACAGAACTAAGATACTCCCGAACGAATTCAAGTGCGTGAAGTGTATAAATGGAATATAGAAAAAATTTAGTGAGAAAAGTGCATAAGTGAATGCAGTAAAATTGAATTTGCAATGACATGTTTAGGGTTTTATGTAAAGGAAAGAAAAGTAAAATATTAAAACTTTGAAAACGGGCAAAAACCAAAAAACTCGAACAGTGGAAAAATTCACAAAAACTTTCACTGATAGCTGTTACGCATACGCAGCTGCGCAGTGGAATTTTGTGTGGGGGTCAGAAAAAATTTCATCTCAATTCAATTTGGCTGCCTTCATCAAAATTGATTCCTGCTGAGTATTTGACAAGACAAAATCACTTGCCGAACGCTTCGTTGATAAACAAAAACACTATTGTATAAACACACAGCGCGCAATTGTTATTCTAATGGCAACTACATATTTTTATAAATTTTTGTGTGCCGCATAGTTTCATACGCTAGTAATATTTTGTCGAGCGAAAAGTGTAAAACAATGGCAAAAACAGGAAACGTAATCTAAAAACAAAGTGAAACAAAAAAAATAAAAAATTTAGAAAAAAAATATTAAATTCTACGAAATTCTGCAACTGCATAACTCAATGCAAATCGCATGCATCGCTGAGCTACTGCGGCTGTGTGGCATCGAACGAGTGCGTGGCTTTGTTTTTTCTGCAATTCTCGCAAGCGGCGTACAATGAAACTGTTAAGCTTAGAAAACCAAAACAAAACTTTGAACTTTGCACAAGTTCAGCGAGTGGAAGGAAATGCAAAATAATAATAACATGAATTACAGTAAAAACAAAGAAAACATTGGGTTAAAATGAAAGTGAAGCGCTATGCGAAAGTGAGGGATTGGGGAATATAAGCAAACAAAAAAAAAAAAAGCTAGAAGAGTAAAATGCAAAAACTAACATCAATTAAGTAAGCAACTGCTGCAGGTGTGTTAGTCGGTGAAAATTTTCGCGAACACTGAAAAAGTGGGCGCGAAATAAAATAGTAAAAAAACGGTTACCTTGTAATATAAATATTGTTGTGGAGTGCGAGTGAAATAAAAAGTGTTTCAATTGGATCTAGCATACATTGCGCGCAAATGGAGATTTAAACGAGAACTCAGATGATGTGCGAATCGAATAAATAAGGTAAGTGTATTTGTTTCGAATTTGGAAGAACTTACTTGAAAAAGTTTTTTTTTTGACGTTTAACTGTTAGGGAATGGAGAAAAAATACTTTTTTTAATGTTTGAATAACATTTTATTATTATAAAAAAACATAGAATTAACTATAATTCCAAAGAATAATACAATTAATAAAATAATGTATGTAATTATTAAATTTGCTATATTTTCAGGTTTCTAATAATTTTCCAAAAAAAAAACCTTTATAAACTATATAAGTCCCAGTTCTCAAACATATTAAGACATGTCCATAAGTAAAACTTTACAACATTCCCTATATTTAAAATTATTTTTAAAAATGTTGTCCAATAGGAAGCGAAAAAAATTTATCAAAGAAACGATTAACCAACCTCTGGGTATTAACTCCATATTGAAACAAAAAGAGTCGACAAAAGCACTCGCTAAAATGAACGAGTTTAAACCAGAGATGCCGTTTTTAAATAAATTAAATCGAGGATCAATTCATTGAGCCCTTCCGATTAGATTTTTTTCGAGTTTAGGTTCCTCTTCGTTTCGGGAATATATCGAAAAAGGTGGAAAATCGAGAATCGACATTCGATTTTTTTTTCATTTGACGCATTTTTCATTGTATTATAAAAATCTAGAAAATTTTAAGGGAAATTTGAATTTGAGGCTGGTAAAAAAGTGAAGGGGGCTTGGTACCTCCCATCTTTTCGTCTTGAAAGCAAAGACCACAAAATGCAATGACCTACTTCCCTTTCTCCTGGGACTACAGGTCTGCTAAGGGAAGCCTCTTGAAATTATGAAAAAACACGTTGATTTATTTGATAAAATGCCACAAGTATGACAAATACACCAACTAAGTAAGTAGTATTTTATCTCCAAACAGGTTCGATATCACATCAGCTTTACTTTAGGTTATTTTAATTAGTTTATTTAACGAAAAAAAGCCAACGCGAAAAAATGATATTGTTAAAAATGAAAGCACTACACAGCTGCAACTATACAGGTGACCGGCAGTGTATTGGTAAATAATATTTTCTTGAAAAATTTCGGTTATGCATTCAATTTTACTACAAATAAGTGCAAGTTTCAAGTGGCTGCAAAATGTCGTTGATTCCTGCCAATTTTTTTCGGTGCTAGGCATTTTATTAAAAAAAAAATTTTATAGAGCATACTTTGTGAGGAAGAAATTGCGCTACACACCTGCATACTGAAATTTTTTCTAAGTAATGAAATATATAGCTATATGTAAGCTTTGGTGGGCTGATGTATGTGTAATACACTTTTTAAAATAGCGTTTACAATTTTTCTCTTTTGTTAAAAAAAAAGCGAAAAAAATCGAACCATTTTCCTTAGGAGGTAAAAATTTATGAAGTTTTTCGTTGAATGTTCCTACTTACTTTTGCCTTAATATAGAAAAATCGTATCTCTGTTTTTTATGTAAGTATTTACGGATTGTTAGCTACCTGATAGCTTTTGGACAAATCTATATATTGAAACCGTTGTAAGCAATACATGTTTTAAAAATTACTTACAAAAGTGATTGTAATTTCAGTGCTGGTCAGATGGTAGTGCTTTATTTCTTTATGAAAATTAAGTAAAAGGCCTTATTTGGTAAATTATGTAAATCAGTATTGGGTGGTCAATTTATAAATAAGATTTCTTCCTGCATCGATTATGTTTATTTCGATTCGAATCGATTCAAAACTCCAGTAATTTTCTATTGGCTATTATGATGGGTACTCATTGGTACAACCATTTATTGTGCGTGATAAGCTCGCATAATCAGCGAAGAAGATATTTCCCTGACTTTCCCTAGAGCTGGATAAAAATAACTCCGTTGTATGCCAGCACGTCCATGAATAGGTTAGTTGGCTTTAAAGTGGATTTGCTATTTTGCGAATTAAAGATGTGGGCAAACAATCATTCTCGGGGCCTTCGATTGAATTCTTTAAAATATTCCCATAATTGAGTAGATATGCCTCGCAACTGAAGTATCCCACAACTGCATTCCATAGGTTCACATCGGCTTTATGGCGGTTAATTAGTTACAGGAGAAATGTACTATCAGTTGATAGTTGGGATTTACGGTTCATAAGCTCATATAAATTTCTCAATTTTAGACCAAGTACCCTTCCATTTGGTATATGTATATGGGAAAATTGTTGTACGGAAAATGAAAGCAAATAAAATTCGATAGCCCAGATAGTTTCTGAGAAATTAATTAATCATTTCAGATTTTTTTGTTTTTTTGATGGAAAAATGCAAAAAATTCTAACTTTAACAGGAAAAAAGTCAAATGATAACAGTTTCTGTTTAAATGTTTTGCACTTGTGTTAAAACCTGTTCCTTTAGAAAAAAAAAATTACCCACTAATGAAGAAAATCAGTGGATAAATAAGAAAATAATGATTGGTCAAATGAAAATGCGCAGGGGAGAAAATTATCCCAATTTTCGGTATCATCGAGCAATTTTACATAGGAATTGAATAGTGGCATCCATAGAACATTTTTGCTGTAAACCAGTGTAATCAAGTGTCACTATGTTCGTTGATGATGTTCGAACTGAAACTGGAAATAAATTTATATTTCTACTGAACAACAATCATAATCTTCTGTAAAGGAGTCTTATCGATCAAAAGTCGCTGAATTTGGTGTGCGGAGATCTACCTGTTTTAGGTGCAAATACAACTTTTACCTGCGTCTATTTCTGTGGTATTTGTATAAACGAAGGAGAACGATGCATAAAAACATCAGTTCCGAAATTGTATGCGCATTTTTGCCATTCAACCTTAAGAAATTAATTTAACGAAGATAAAAAGGTATAGGAAATTCAATTGACTGAAATACTAAACCAACAAATCATCGAAGTGGGCGCGTGCACGCTCCCTTGGGCAAAACAACTTGCTGAGATGCGCACTTCAGAAGAAATATGAAATGCTCCCAGCGCTACACAATTAAATTTTTCATTTCCATTCGGTTTAATTTGCTCCGCCTGAACACGAAAAAATTCCATAAAAACAAAAATTTCAAAACAAAGCAAGAAACGTTTCAATGCAAATAAACAAAGTATTTTAATATAACCATTGCAAAAGTAAACAAGACGGAATAAATAAAAAAGAACAACAAACCAAAACACGAAATAAATATGTATGTCAAACAAACATTTGCATAAAGTAAAAAACACTTGCTTTGCTTGTATGCAAATGGCACCGCACTCACCAACATTAAATTTTTCACACGCCATCTTCAAAACAAATTTTTCGAGCAGTGAAATTTAAAATTTCTACGCTTCGAGCAACACGCTTCACTAAACTTCATTTTCATCTCATCTCAGCCACAAATGTAATGATTTAAATCGTCAAGGCAACCACAGTAAGGCAAAGCAACATGACGCCGGTAGTTGGTTTGACGGCTCTATTTGGCGGGGTTGAGGATTTTCTGTACGTTCAACTTCCTTTGCACACAGAGGCAAATCTCTACAGCTTTTAGGGGCCGCCTTAGCATTTTGGCGACGCAGGATATTTGAGATTGGAGGAGGGTACATAGGCCCCTTCCCGCTTCTCACTTACTACAACACAGCGCATTAATGCGACTTGAAACCCGACTGCCTCTAACTAAATGACTGGCGTCATTCATGCTACTACGCGGAAGGAAGTAGGTACATAAATAGTACGCGGCGCACCGCGCCATGCTGTGAGATGTTTGTTTTTGTTGTGGTTGTGGCAGTTGTTATTACAACTTTTTAGTTGTTTTGAGATGTTGATGATGAAATATTTGTGACTACGAGTATGCACTGAGGCTATTGTTATTGCGCACTTCATGGATGTAAAAACTATGCCATAAAGCAATGAACTAAATAAAATGGCATGTAAAAAATAAAGCAGAATCGCGCGGCGAATGCGTTTAATAACAGTGTTTTGGAGGTATAATGTTCAGTGGTTACATTATATTTATTGTAAATGAAATGATGCATAAAACAAAGCAATAGTTGCAAAAAATTATTAGATACGATTTAAAATTTTCTAGCTTTACAAACCCCTCCGGCATTAAAATTTGTCCCAGTTTATGATATCTTAAATTAAAATAAAAACTCGTCTGCGGAAGAAATTTGATCATTTGATTGTATCGAATTAAATTTTTGATAAGATTTTGGAGCAGAAGGAAGCCTATGCAAGTGTCTGCAGTGGGTGAAGGCTGAGCATTCACTTTTCAGTCTCAAGCTGGCATTTTGAAGCGAGATTTTTATATGGTAATGAGTTAGTTGCACATTAGTTTGCAAGCATAAAACAAATGCACATATAACGTTGTGGGTAACTCTTTTTAACCCTAGAGTATGTACTAATGTTCCTCGATTCGACGACTATCGCTCTCATTTTACTTATTCTCTCTTTACTGCCTGGAACTGTTAGCGCTTTATCTTCTGTTGTTGAGAAAATATGTTTTTTTTCGTTTGGACTATCGGAGTGAGGTTTTTTTTCCTTTACTGCGCGTCGAAACCAAGTTGAGACAGTGTCTCCTGCGCATAATAAAATTATAATTAAAATTTTCTCTGTTTCTGATATGTATTAATAGAAATATACATAACTTGTTAATTTTTGCCTTATATTGATCTCGTTTGTGAAGTTCAGCAGAAAATTTAGTCCTTGTTTGACATGCTTATATAAATTGCAAAAAATAGAAGCATATGGGAAATATATTGAATAAACAATCAGCTTTATCATGAGTTTCATTTTCCCTGAACCGGTTCATTTTTCACTTTTGGTTTCCATGATTTTACTATGGGCGGATGGCAAATTTTCGGGTGAATTTTTTTTTAGGCGAAACTCAGGACAATGCAGAATATGTATAACATTTA